AGACCTGTACCCCTGGGGATAAAAATATATTATATGTTTATAAAAAATAAAATTAAAAAAAAAACCACAAATAACAACCCCATCAGGCTTTAATTTCTGATAAATGTATAGTTTTTGAATTTGAAAATTTTATGAAATTGCAAAGTGTAGTTAAAAGAGGTGAACTGAAAATCACCCAAATCTGATCTGCGAGGTAGGAATATCCAGTCATGACCAATGTAAAAATCAATGACAAATGGAGACAAAAATAATCCTGAAATTATAGGGCACATAAATGCAGAAAAAATTCAATTAAAATTCACTGCTTAGAATACTTTTCATGTGTTAATGTATGCCTGTTAATGAATAGGTTTTTTTTGTTTTTTTTGCTTATTGTTAGTATTCCAGATGCAATGAAGTCCTCTTCATCTTATTACGAAAACTTTCAAACATACATAAAGAACATTGTACTAAACACCCATATACCCACCTCCTTTATGTAGCGATAATTATGACATTTGGCTATACATAATGTACATATAATATTTATAATGTGGATTATTTAACAATGTATAAATATTATATATTCAAAATATGTGTAATCTTATTTGAACCATTTGGAAGTAAATTTCATGATGCTTCCATAAAACATTTTTATTTTATTTTTAAAAAGATTTTGTCTATTTTTTTATTTGAAAGAGAGAGAGAGAATGGGCCAGCATGTGTGCTCCTGGGTGTGCAAGCAGGGGGAGGGGCAGAGAGAGTGAGAGAATCCTAAGCTGACTCCACACTGAACACAGAGCCTGATGCGGGGGTTGATCCCACAATGCTGAGATTGTGATCTCAGCTGAAACCAAGAGTTGGATGCTCCACCCACTGAGCCAGCCAGGTGCCCCTTCTTTTTTCCTTTAATAGACATTTTTTTCTTTAGAGTAGTTTTAGGTTTACAACACAATTGAGCAAAAAGGACAGAGAGTTTCCATTTACTTCAGTCGGAAACTAAGGCCTCCCCACCATCAGCATTCCCCACCACAGTGGAACATTCATTCTTGTGATCCCCTACAGTCCATAGCTTATGTTAGCATTCAGCCTTGGTGTTGTACATTCTATGGGTGTGGACGGATGTTTAATGCTGCTTATCCACCAAGTCATATCACACAGAGAAATTTCACTGCTCTAAAAACCCTCCATGCTTCACCCATTTATTCCTCCCACCCACCACTGCTGACAATCACTGATATTTTTACTGTCTCCATAGTTCTTTCTAAGAATGTCATAAAGTTGGATGGGTTATGTTTTAGTGCTTGATAAGAGTTTTCATTTTTATATTCTCTTTTTTGTTTCATTTGTGCATCTCGACTGATTTGTTTGGATTTCTCCTTGCACAGGAACTCAGAGCAATGTGCTGAAAGGGGACTCGTTTGTCAGAGGGGGAAGTCCAGATTTTGTGGCTGGCCTCAGTTCACTGGATCTGAACAATCCTGCTGGAAACAAAGAGCAATATTCTTCCTGGGCAGAATCTGTGACTGGTGGTCCCCAAGTCATAAAACAAAAGGTATGTCCTGTTCTGTTGAAAGCAGCATAAAGCAGGCATGTTTCTTCGCACTGGGAAAACGAGATTAAATCAAGGTGGTTAAACAGAGACAGCTGTAATTAGCATTTTCTGTATCCCAGTTATGTTTTGTATAGTAAAATGAATGCATACATAATAATAAGAAACAGAAGCTTCATTATCTTGTATGTTCATATTTCAATTGTAAAGGTGAAATATCTTGTAAATCCCAAGAGAAATTATAACAAAATTTGCATATTAGGCTTTTGACCTAAATTTGATTATGTTTTCCTTGGTCTCTAATTCAGAAGAATTATAGATTCTTGCATGAGGAAAGCATTTAGGCTTGTCTACTGTCCCATCAGATTACTTTTCTTCCTCTGGCCGCGGCAATGTGGGCTCTTGGAGACATGTCCATTAAGTTAAAACAAATTCGGCTGCCACAATTTTAGGATGTTTTATTGATGCAGTCAGTTCTTTGATAATGCAACGTATGTGCTCTTAAAAACCGGAGAGCTAGGCAGAATTGCACAGTGAAGAGCCTCTGGCTTATGGGGAAAATGGGGTTAAGGACACAAAACTCAAAAACTTAATTTGTGATACTCATTAAAAGGAAGAAAGAAAAAAAACAAAGAAAGAAAGAAAGAAAGAAAGGAAGGAAGAAAGAAGGAAAGGAAGGAAGGAAGACATCAGTAAAAACAGTATGAGTTTTACAGGTGTTAAATTGTTTAGGAATGCTTCTACTACGTTATGGTGACACAATTCCTAGAGTAAGACTTGAAGTTGGTTGGGTGACAGGAAGGTTGGAGCCCTGAATTAACTGTGAAGCGTTGGAAGGGGAGGGGCCAGATGACAGACAGCGGGCGGTAGCACCAGAAGTGGATGGATGGAGCTTAGTACAGGCAGTGACCCGCATGGAGGTCTGATGTCTGTGTTTGTGTGTGCGTATTTTGTACATTCCTATCTTGGGTTGTGTTCCCTTTTTGTGTCCACTTTTCTGAGTTCACCTGGTTTTTTCTTGTGGATGAAATTGTATGTAAGAAAACACAAAAATATCCCATAGGCTTAGAGTGTTTGCCAATACATCTATCTCCAATGGAACAAAGTCACACTTTCAAAACATGCTGTAGCAGAACTGATTCTCTGATCTGTTCTCTGTCATGGGAATCAAGCAACGTCCCAGGTGAAACTTGACTTGGATACATTTTACAAACCCCCAAATCACAAAACTCCTTGAACACCCTCCCAAGACCACATGTACCCACTTGCCTCTGAACAAGGGTGAAGGGGGGAGGGTGGTTTTCCCAGAAGGTCTTACCACAAAGGGCCACCATCAATATTCACAATGACCTATTTTCAATGCCGGTGCCCCAGAACAAATCTTGAAAAATTAGAAATTGTTGATTAGGGAGAAACAGACATTCCTTCCGATTCTCAGCTCTGCTCTTCTCCACGATGGACTGTGACTATCATAGGTAGCTGTGCTAATTTACTATAGGTGTATGTCCACGCAATGCCATGCAGTCCATTCTGCCTTAATGCAGTGTAAGAGAGCTTGGGCAGAGATGGATATGTGGCTGAGTCTTTGAGTCATTCTCACATTATCCTCACACTTGCAGAGATGTGCTGCAGAAAGCTTGGACGGACCTTCACAAGAGCCAGTGGTATATATATCTTCCCAACTCCATGGTCATTGGCATCCCAATGGCAACGTGAGACTGGCCATGGCAAGAGTTCTTATACTGCAGAAACTGGCAAATGCTACAAATCAGAGCATTTTTGTTCTTAGGAGAGCAGATTGTTAAAGCTTAACCAGCACATGTATGGTCTCCAAGTTATGTTTCATTAGACATACTCAGCACAGAACAATATCTGTTTTATTATTTTTATTTTAGTTTTGGGGGTGCAGCAAAACAAAGTTTATTGAGAGATAGTAAATTTTACTGATAGAGTGCAATGCTCCCGAAGAGGAAGGGGACCTGTAAGGGTTGCCTTGTCTATCTGTTTTAAACTTCTTCAGGGAAGAATAGTCACAGTCTCCATTAAGAGACATGTTAAATCTCTTAGAGTCAGGGTATTTAATTGTAAATTTATTTGCACTTGCTTCTTCACTGTAATTTAATAGTATTTCCTTTTCTTCTGTCTTCTGCAAGGGTGGAAATGTACTGCCTTCAAAATAATCTTTCAATAACTAGAAAATGAATGTCCTGTTGATTTTGAAAAAAAATTTTGCAGGATATAAAAAATACTCCTTCTCTATTCACTCCTAGTTTTCTTTCTGCCTTACAAAGAAAGTGAAGTGCTTTCTTTTTATTTGAAGAAGAAATAATTGGAATTAACATGAGTGGCTTTTCATTTTATTTTAATGGAGATTGAGCCTGAATGCCCGAAGAAAAATATCCTTGCCTAGAAACCTGATTACTGACCATGATGTCTTTATCTGTTTAGCTGACACCTTTGTATGAGCTGGTAAAAGAAGTACCCTGTGCTTCCGTGAAAAGACTATACCTGAAGAGAGCTCTTGAGGAATATCTGGATGAATTTGACCCCTGCCATTGCCGACCTTGTCAAAATGGTGGCATTGCCACCGTTAAGGGAACCCAATGTCAGTGCCATTGCAAACCATATACATTTGGTGTGGCTTGTGAGCAAGGAGTCCTTGTAGGGAATGAAGCAGGTCAGTGTGCTGGATTTTTGCTGGTTATGCGGGACACAGTGAAAAGGGTACCACTCTTTCCATTTGGCTGTTGACATTGTGCTTCTTTGTGCATGGGCATTTTAATTAGTGTCTCCATTCCTATTCCACTTCTGGGTTCTAGCTACTAGGTCAAGGCTCCCTGCTGTCTTTGTTTTCCTTTTCCTTTTTCTTTTTTTTTTAAAGATTTATTTATTTATTTGAGAGAGAGAGCAAGAAAGCGTGCACACAATGGGGGAAGGGGTGGGAGAGGGAGAGAGAGAACATCTTAAGCAGACTCCTTGCTGAGCATGGAGCCCGACGTGGGGCTCGATCTTATGACCATGTGATCATGACCTTAGCTGAACTTAAGAGTTGGACCCTCAACAAGTGAGCCACCCAGGTGCCCCTCTGTTTTCCTGTTAATTAATAGATCCACCATGACCTCCATTCTTCATTCTCCATTGGAATAGATTAATGCCTAAAACACCCTCCTTCCATAGTCATCTCATTAAGGTTTTGTCATAACATAGGTCTGTGGAGCTGGTGTATGCATAGCTTAACCTTTCTGATGGCAAGATCTTTGAAATATCTCTTTTTATTTTGTTTTATGTTCCGTCAATCAATTATTCACAAACACTTTTGAACATCCGCTGAATGCGCCCAACTGAATGGTACTTTAAGTATTTTAGTACAGAACTATGTGAGGTTGACTCTATGAGTAGACAAAGTATGAGACAATTTTGCATTTATTTATATGTCTTTCTCTTCCAGGAAGCTCATTTCCTAAGGTCAGAACTATGATTCCTTTTTTTATTCTCAGGGCCCAACAGGGCTTAATCCATAGAAGGCATTTAATACATATTTGTCGAATGAATGAGTACATGACTAAACTATGGTTGCTTATAGACAAGTATCAAGAAGTCATCCTTGCCTCCAGTTCTCTTCGCAAGTGGCCTGTCTGGTCAATTGAAATTCCACCTCTTTGATTTCATTACTTTGGCGCTTGGATTTCCCGTTATTTGGTAAAATGGAAGTTCCCCCTGATGGTCAGGGTTGGAGTAGCAATCATAATATATTAAGCTATAAATTACCCCCATTAATATGCTCAGCAGACTACTTTATTAACTCAATTTCTAATTATGGAAGAAAGCTCATGGGAAAATATTACCAAATTAGTTTAGTTCTGTTTAGTTTTTTAGTAGAAATACCTAAGGAGCAGTAAACACATCCATCTATCACCAGGAAGTAATACTTCGGGGGCGTGGTTTCTGAGATCAGTTTCTACCTAGGAAAGCCACGTTCTTAGAATATAGTGCAAGTTCTCTCTTGTCTTCCCTGAGGAATATGATGGGGGAAAATTGTAAAACCACTGTTAGTGGTCAGTCGGCCCTGAGTTGGAGGGTGGCCACGCTGGGCTGAGCAAGTGCCTTCAGACTGAAGGACGTTGACAGGAGGCAAACGTGTTTCTCCTGCTTAGATACTTCCTCATTGAACAGGGCCAGCTTTGAGGGCGGCAGTCGGGAATACCCAGCGGACTATGTTCCTCTCATGCCTTGTCAATGCTTTTGCAATAGAAAAGTTCCCAGTAGGGGCGCCTGGGTGGCTCAGTGGGTTAAAGCCTCTGCCTTCAGCTCAGGTCATGATCCCAGGATCCTGGGATCGAGCCCCGCATCGGGCTCTCTGCGCAGCGGGGAGCCTGCTTCCCCTTCTCTCTCTCTCTGCCTGCCTCTCTGCCTACTTGTGATCTCTGTCTGTCAAATAAATAAATAAAATCTTAAAAAAAAAAAAAAAAGTTCCCAGTAGGAACTACTCTAATGAGAGGAGCCTGGACTCTGCCGTAAGGCCATGCTGCTGTCTGGATGTGGCTCTTGGCAGCCATTACGGCACTGGGTGTGGCATTTGACCACCTTGTCTTAGATGCCACATCTATCAACTGAGAATGGTGACAGAACCCCCTGCCCATTTGGATTCATTCTGATGAGAAGTAAATGAATGGTAGAATATATGTAAAAGTGCTCTGAGACAGTTGCAAAATAATAAACAAATTTAACATATTATTGCAAGAAGTTCGTTAGTGCAACCTTACCTGGCAAACCTTGTCGGTGTGCAGAGACATTCTGGTCCTTGTAGAAGACCTGAATGAAGTGAAGGCAGCGAGTGCCCAGACTGCCCCCTCCCCCAATAACTGCCAGAGCAGGAAGCTCAGCACTAAAATCTGGAATCTTCCTCTCCGTTGCTTTCTGAACAATCTTTCTCTTACCTTACAGGAGGGGTGGATGGGGGTTGGAGTTGTTGGTCCTCTTGGAGTTCCTGTGTTCAGGGGAAGAAAACAAGGAGCCGAGAATGCAATAACCCACCTCCCAGTGAGGGCGGGAAATCCTGTATTGGAGAACCCTCGGAAAGCAGCCCCTGCGAGGATGAGGAGCTGCAGCATTTACGGTAATGGTGGCCAGATCTCCTGGCAATTGCAAAGAATACAGTGCTCTCTGCAGTAAGCCTGGGATGCATGACTGCTGCTATTAAAAGATTTAGAAGTTAAATGCCAATTTTTATCAGTGACTACCTTGCCCTTAGCGGTGGGGTCACTTGATGGAGGAAGCCATGTGTGGCCAACTAGCATTTGTGTGTTTCAAGTTCTCCCTATACAGACATTACAAAAGGCTGGGTAACTTGGAGGTCATCTAGCCAAGGGGATCTGAGCAGCTCTGGCATGGGGCAGATCTGCCATATACTTGCTGGGTGACCTTGGGTGAGTTAACTTGCTACACCTCTAAAATAAGTATAATCATAGAAGGTAAAACAATGGTAGGATATTGTCAGAATTCAATGATATTCAGCACAGAAAGTGATTAGCACAGCGCCTGGCACATAGTAAGCATTCAACTACCAATCCTATTCATTCATTCATTCATGATTAAGCATAAAGCCAGATGTTCGAGATGGCTAACATGTAGACAGATTAACCCAGTTGTCTGACTCCAACTTTTCGTTTGCCAGGACCTTGCAAAAGCAATCTCAAAATGCTTAGTTGATGAATTATACCCATTGCGTCAGAATTCTTCAGGCCACACCTTACTGTTTTATACCGTCTTTACTAACCTCTTTTGATCAGGGATTGGCAAAATGTTCTAGTAAGATAATTTGAAGGTCATGTGAGTTGAAGAAAGTTGTAAGATCTTGTGGGATGCCTTTCTTTCTAGGTGTTTGGTGCTTCATAAACCAACAATAATAAATATCTCATGACCAGGAGGCTGTTGAGCATATGGAATTATGGTAGGAGGAGAAGTTGCCTTTGGGGTCATTCTCTGGGAAGATGAGGGTTTCTATTGGAGGAGGTCTCTGTTGGAGGGAAAGGAGCATCCTAAGGAAGGCATTGAAGGAATTCCTGCTCTTCTTGGTGCTCAGAGGGGAGATCTCCTCCTGTTTGGTACAAAGATGAAAATTATGATCAAAATCTTCACATTTCTGAGTTTTCTCAGAATATGGCAAGAGTGTAAGGAACTCACAGGTGAGAAGGAGGCAGTACTCACAGGCTATTTGTCATGCTTTCCCTCAGATTTCAAATCTCTGGAGTGGGGGTACTACTGGTGGCATGCTGGCTTCAGGGGGCACTACGGAAAACTATTGTTTAATGATGGATATCACTGTGATTATTATTATTATGAGCTTCCTCTGGAGATGGCTTGTGGGAGGGAGAACGAGCATGGCTTTAGGAGCCTGACTGACAACAATGTGAATGCAGCCTTGATATTTATGACTTTATAACCTTGGACAAGTCATTCAAACTTTCTGTGCCTTTGTTTTCTTTACATACCTGCTAGCATTACCATGAATGTGAATTGAGATAATGCACATTTGTTGAGCGACTGCCAAGGTGCTTAGCACATAGTAAATGCTCAATCAAAACTAGCTATTATTTTTGCATTACCGTTCTCGCCAGATCACTGTCATTACCTTATTTTTAATACAGAATTAATTCTGTGTGGCATCTCAGAGCCAGACAGCAGGAGAAAAAGTAGGTCTGAGACAGGCAACCTCTAGAAATGATATCAAGTGTGTGTGTTGTCCACTGACTTTTATTTCCTTCTCTTTCTCTTTGTTCTTCGTACTGCTGACTTACTAGTTATTTTTTTTTTTTTTTGGAAGCTTGAGCTTATGTTTGAGTTTTCTATGATAGGATATGATCAGATATTGATTCTGAGAATGGCAATCACATCAACATATTTATGCAAATGGATTCCCTTCAAATGTAAATTAAAAATTAACTGTGCTGCAAAATATTTATTCTACTGTGGAGCTCTGGCGTGTTTATTATGTTTTGTTTCCTTTTCCTTTCAGGTTGCTTGAACCACATTGTTTTTCTTTGCCTTTGACTCCGAAAGAATTCTGTCCATCACCTCCTGCCTTGAAAGATGGATATGTTCAAGTTGGTTATGGAAGATCTATTGTTTTCCTTTACATATACACCCTTTGCTCCAAGTTCCCTCTCTCTACTGATGTCCTAATTTATTTCCTTCTTCCATGATGAAACGGTGCTAAAAATAGTTTATATGTGCATTTTAGGTTTTGTGATGAGGGTTTTAGTTTGTGACTTTTCTTCTTTGGCCCAAGGTGATTAGAATTCTGCAGAAGCTAGTATATCTTCTGTGGTAAGGTGAACCAATATTACTGCCCAATGAAATTAGAAATGTAATCATGCCAGAGGGCGGATGAATGTTTCCATTCTGAACACTAAAGTAGGAATCCATAAGCAAGTTCTTCAACAAAGAGAACTTTATTCTTTCCATTGAAAAATGTCTTTAAAAATTTCTTTTCACAAATATGGGGTTTGGGATGAAATATTGGATTTATTCTAGAAGCCAGTAAGACATTTGGCCAGTGTTGGTGAGATGCGGGTCATTATACTTTGAGCAATTTTCTCATTCAGGAAGGAACACAAGTCATCTGCCACTTGTTCTAGGGAATTTTTGGCTTTGGGACCATATTAATTCATGTTCTTCTCACTGCTTGCTATGATGAAGCTTTGGCCCCAAGCCCCAGTGTGTTTTTCTGGCTCACATAGGAGATACTGTCCATCAGGGCCCTCTCAGTGCTCCCAGCCTTGCTTTCTCCATGAAGGATTTGCCTCTCAAATTCCCTGAAGTTTCCTCAAATGTAGGTAATGGAAAGGGAAGAGGGGTATGTGTGTGTTTGTGTGTGTGTGTGTGTGTTTAGAGGGAGGAGAATGAACCCAGCATCTCTAGCACTCATATGTCCCAGTATATTTACCATCATAATCCATAGAATTCCTGAAGGAAACACAGGCTTGGAGAACAAGGTCAAGTAAATTTGTGTAGTTCAGCAAATCATGAGCTATTGTTCCAAACTCCAGTGCATGTGTGTCCTAAGGAGCCGGGGGTTCAGAACACTGCCCCACAGATGGGCTACATCACCCAGGAAATTTAATAGAGATTGCTGCTTGCCCCTTATCTTCCATTTTTTCCTCATTCTGTACGTTTAGGGTAGGGTCTTTTTTTAAAAGTTTTTATTTATTTATTTGAGAGACAGAGTGAGAGAGAGGGTAATGGGGAGGGGCACGGGACAGGGAGAAGCAGACTCCCTGCTGAGCAGGGCGCTTGACACAACGGGACTCCATCCCAGGACCCGGAGATCATGACCTGAGCCAAAGTCAGACTCTTAACCAGCTGAGCCACCCAGGTGCACCCCCCCCCCCACTTTAATTGGAACTAGTAGTTCTGATACAGAGTTAAGTTTGGGCACTGTTGAGTTCAAATTCACCATATTAGCAGTCCCCTTTGCAAGGCAAAGGAAGGCCTAAAGATTAGCACCAAAGCAAATCAAGTGTCCATACCCATTTTCTTCAAATCCCAGTGTTAACTTGGGCCCTCTGTTTCTGACCAACTCCCATGATGGAGCCAGCCTGGGCAAGGACTGACAGTGAGAAGAAAAAGGCACCATGGGATTTTGTTCTAATGCCTGGAGCAGAACAGGTCCAGCTCTCAACCCTCCCTGTGGGGTGGCAGAGAACTTGAAAGATGAGGGAAAGACTAAGAGAATCCCCAGAAGAGCATGATTATATCCTGAGGTCTTAGATTTCGAATTCTCCCTTGCTTCACTGTGAAAACTCACTTCCTGGGATCACAGGCGGACACTACGTCCCTGAATGTGACCCAGTCCCAGTAGCACTTCCCTCACTGGGTAGGGATGGGAGAAGATCAGCATTCTGCTTCCTCTAAAAGTCATCAGTGAGAAACTTAAACTTTCACGAGTACGCTGATAGGATTTGAACATTTCTGTCTGCTCCTCCTGACTTTTGTTAGGCAGTATTGCCAACAAACAGCCCATAAAATCTTATGGTAGAGAATTGACTGACAAGTACCTTTCCAAAATCTGATAAAAAACTGTCTTTTCCTGAAACATAGGAGAGAAAGGTGATTTGGGGAGTATCCACTAAAGTAATTTTAGTAAAATGTTTATGACAGTGCATGGTATTTGCGGGACAATCAATAAATTATAGTACAGTGGCGTTACGGGCTTTATTTCAATCAATGGTAGTGCAAATGTTGTTGGCTAGGAACGTACAAGGAAGAATGTTTTTACAGACAATTTTCTAAATTCGTTATTTGAACTTAGTTTGCCTGATGATTAAAAGAAGACAAGATTTATAGGCGAAGGGGCACTTGCATGGCTCAGTGGGTTGGGCCTCTGCCTTCGGCTCAGGTCGTGGTCTCAGGGCCCTGGGATCGAGTCCTGCATCGGGCTCTCTTCTCCACAGGGAGCCTGCTTCCTCCCCCCACTCTCTGCCTGCCTCTCTGCCTACTTGTGATCTCTGTCTGTCAAATAAATAAATAAAATCTTGAAAAAAACGGTTTATAGTTCAAATATCTCTAAAGAAACATTCTGTTAATGCACAATAGACATACTTTTTCTCTCTGTCTCCCTCTTATTTCTGTTTAGGATGAAGGTGCGAAGTTTCCTGTTGGGAAAAATATAGTATATACTTGCAATGAAGGATACTCTCTTATCGGAGACCCTGTAGCCAGATGTGGAGACGATTTACGGTGGCTTGTTGGAGAGATGCATTGTCAAAGTGAGTGACCTTGGTTGTAGCGTATAACTTAAGATGAGAGTGTCATGGAGAAGAGGATGATTCAAGATGAAACAGTGTTCACTGTATGGCCCGTGTCTTGACCTCCCTTTCCTGAGAGGCTCTTAGGATCCTGTCCAAGTTTTGGTTGTGTCTTGAAAAAGCCCTTCATAGTCTCTAGTTGATAGTGCTCCTTTCAGGGAGGCATATTTTACTGCAATTTTAAAGTTCCTGGTGCAAATTAGAATAGGCTAAGGAGCTCAGGTCTGGGTCAGACCTTCAGAACATCCTCTATAGTTCAATTTCTAGGGATGTACCATCATCATTGTACTTCGTTGAATGCACGTCCTCAAATTTGCGTCCTGTTCTGTTCAGATGTGGGCATCTGAGTAGTGCTTCCGCTAAGCACGCGAACACTGCTGTTGGCCTTCGACCTCACTTGTACTGCAACATAAGTTGGTTCAGTGGGTGGATAGAGCTGTAGAGACGTATTTTTCTTCTATCAGTTATCTATGTGATGTGAAAAAACCCCTCGTGTACACACGCACATTTTTTTCCTCTTGGGTATATATCTGTTAATGAAATTTTGAATCATAGGGTATATATCCACTTAGTAGATGTTACTAGTCTTCCAAATGGTCGTACCAACTTACATCCCTACCAAAATCCGAGAATCCAAGATGTCTCTGTATCCTCACCAACAATTGGCATCATCATTCTTTTAAAAACTTTAGCTGTACTGGTGAGTGAGTAGCAATATCTTATTTTTTAATTTGTATTTTTTTCTGGTGACTATGATGTCATGCCTGTCATCATGTTTATTGGCCATTTGCCTATCCTTTCTGATGAAGGGACTGTTCAACCTTTGGGCCCTATTTTCTGTTTGTTGGTCTTCATCTTTTTGATCTGTAGGACCTTTCTTCTTCTCCTTCTTCTTCTCCTTCTTCTCCTTCTTCTCCTCCTCCTCCTCCTCCTCCTCCTCCTCCTCCTCCTCCTCCTCCTCCTTCTTCTTCTTCTTCTTCTTCTTCTTCTTCTTCTTCTTCCTTGGACCTTTCTTCTTTGTCTTTGTCTCTGTCTGTCTCTCTGTCTCTCACTCCTGGAGTCCTTGACCAGAAAGTACTGTAATAGAATATAAACATTTCTTACCTCAGAGTAATAAAGCCAAAAGTTGGTTCTTCAAAATGTTTAATAAGATGCTTGTGCTTAAAGAGATTTTTCCTTTATTGTGAATCTTCTGATAAGAAATAGTCCCAGTCTTTGTTCATCTTAAAATGTCTTTATTTTATCTTTGTTTTAGAAGGATATTTTTACTGGGTAAGGAATTTAAATTAGCAGTTACTATACTTAAAGCCTTTAAAGATTTTATCCTTGCCTTTTGACTTCACTGTTTTCTAATGAGATGTTCACTATGAGTCTTACTATTTCTGGTTTGAAAATCTTATGTCCAGCTACTTTTGAGAATTTCCTTTTTTCCCCAGTGCTTGTGTTTCAGAAGTACTCCCACTGTGATGCACCTAGGTGTGATTTTCTTTGTCCTAACCCTGGTTGATATTCGAAACACTTCCTGAATCTGAATCTTTTGTCAATTTTAGGAAATTCTTCACTATTGTGTCCTTATTGTCTCTGTTCCATTCTTGGTCATTTCTCCTCATGAGACGCAAATGATGTGTTTTTTAGATTACATATATTATATATGTTCTTTTCTTTGGTTTTACATCATTTTTCCCTCTCTTTGTTTCATTCTAAATAATTTTGTTTAGATTGTATGTATGTATGTACTTTAGAGAGAGAGAGAGAGCACAAGCAGTGGGAGAGGCAGAGGGAGAGGGAGAAGCAGGCTCCCTGCTGAGCAGGAAGTCTGATGTGGGTCTTGATCCCATGACCCTGGGATTGTGAACTGAGCTGAAGGCAGACACTTAATGGACTGAGCCAGCCAGGTGCCCTCTCTGTTTCATTCTAAATACTTTCTATTGAGCTACCTTCCAGTTTATTAATTCTCTGTAAGTTATATAATTTGCTTTTAAGAACTCTTTTGTGTTCTTAATTTCATTTTCCAATTATAGATATTTCATTTGCTCACTTTTCTATACTTTCTTATTCTCTGTTGAAATACCATGCCTTGCCATTTAATTTTTTCCCATCATGTTAATCACAGTTATTTCAAGGTCCGCTGTTGTTAATCCCATTATCTGGAACTGCTGTGGGTCTGTTTCTATTGTCTTTTTTGGGGAGTTTGGTTAATTCTTGTCCTTTTGAATGTTAGATTAGTTTTGATTAAATGCCAGACTTTGTGTGTAAAAAAATAAAGGAATCATTTGAGGTTTGGGGTGATGTTCTTCTTGTCCTCTAGAAAAGATTTGATTTTGTTTCTGGCAAGCAGTGAGACTATTTTATGTCCTGTTTACCTTTATTCCTAGGATGTAGCCATTAAGAAATACCAACAGAAAGTCTGGGATTTCTCTCTAGGTTCCTCCTTTGTGATGGGACAAGACTCTTACTCTTGATCGCCTAACCCTATATAAGGCTGTTAAAAACTACAAGCTCTTCAGTCTCTGAGCTATAGTTCCTCCTTAGTTCATCAGCTTCTGATTTTTTTTTTCTTGTTCGAACTACAAATAACTCAAGGAGAACGGCATTACCAAATGTTGTAGACTTGTACCTGTTACATCTCCAGCAGCACACAGCCTACTTGGCTAATACAGGCACTCAATAGACGCTTTTTGAATTAAAGAATGAATGGAGTTTCTGATGGAAGTGGTACAGAATCAGAGCAGGATTTTGTAAAATATTGTCCAAAGTCCATGATAGAGATTGCCAAGATTTTTTTTTTAATTATAAATTCTGACTTGCTTCTCATAGTTATGCATGTTTCTCATTTTTCTCTTTGCTGTTTTCTCAAGTAGAAGATTTGAGCTAATGAATGTAATCAAGTGGGAAAGACTAGAGATGGACAACCAAAGGCTATTTAATACTTGTTTGGTTGAAAGGTTAAAGGTAGTTCTTTAAAACTTTTAGATAGTAAAAGTATCTAATTGGATATATGTTAATGATATATGGATGAATAGAGCTCTTTGGAAAACTCTGGGGGACTTCACCAGACCAAAGAGATAAGCAGCAGCTGGGAAAAGTGTGGTTTTGACAGCAGCCTGGCCTTTAGGACTCTGTTTATAAGGGTGATTCATTTTAAGTTGACATGTTGCATTGAGGGCAGGGGTGAGGGATGGGAACTGTTTTGGTCTTCAGTCTTTCTTTGGTCAATTACGTGTCAGGCACTGTGGGACTTGTCTTTCAGGGCATCCTAGCAGTGAACTTACTTACCTCTTCCTCTTTGTCCTCTAATGTTGAAAAAAACAAAGCATGTGTATTAACACTATTAGAAGTTATCATTTAAAAAAAAGATGGCACAGGAAAGCAATGACCCTTGTATTCTGTTTTCTTTTATCTTTAGAAATTGCCTGTGTTCTACCTACATTGATGGATGGCATTCAGAGTCATCCCCGCAAACCGTTCTATGGAATTGGTGAGAAGGTGACCATTTCCTGTTCAGGTGGCATGTCCTTAGAAGGTCCTTCAGAATTTCTCTGTGGATCCAGCCTTAAGTGGAGTCCTGATATGAAGGGAGTTCAGTGTGTGAAAAAAGGTGAGTAGCATATAGGTCTGTCCAAGGACACCTGCGCTCAGGTGAGTGAGGGTCCTTGTGATAATCTTTTGTAGCATGGATGAACATAACTGTGAGTCATTCCTTCCACCCCTACCCTTCCACAAGAAGGTCGGTTCATAGAGTAGATAATAGACTTTTGCTCACATTCACAGATAGACTCATGAAATGCAAGGAAAAGCAAGGAGAGCCCTGTGATCCTGAAACTAATTTAAATCCTTCTTATCAATGATTAGCTTTGTATCTGTTTTGGTACCAAGAAAATAAAGGATGTTTAAAACACAATTTCTGTTTTTCTCCTGATTTTTTTTTTTAAGATTTTATTTATTTATTTGACAGACAGAGATCAGAAGTAGGCAAAGAGGCAGGCAGAGAGAGAGGGGGAAGCACGCTCCCTGCTAAGCAGAGAGCCCAATGTGGGACTCGATCCCAGGACCCTGAGATCATGACCTGAGCTGAAAGCAGAGGCTTCAACCCACCGAGCCACCCAGGCGCCCCTCTCCTGATTTTTGAATGTACTTTTATTAAGTACAGAGTTGAGTTGAAAATTTATAAAAAATTCTGTATGTTTTATTCCTGGGCTTTCAGAGAGCTTATTAGTATTATTGAAAAAGAACATTTAAAAACATTTACATTTAACACTGCAAAGCAGAAGTTATTGAAAGCAAAATGTTGTGGTTTGTGAAGTTGTTCTGAATAGTGGAAACCCAAAAACCTAGTATTTTGAACACCAAGCAAATTAAGATGGCCTTTTAAGAAGCTATGCTAAGAAGAGATTTAGAAAGCCAAACCATTTGTTTTTAGAGGTATTTAAGGTAGGATGGATTTGTTTTTAAAATCACCTCCTGTTTCTTTTTTGTTTACATTTTTAAAAATGGAAAACATATGTTTGAGACAATTAAAAAATAGGAAGGAAGGAAAGCGCATTTACATTCCATTTTATACAGTCTTCTTATTTTTCTGGTGAATGACTTTTAATTCAATGCTAAAATTTGCCTTTAATAATGAAGATGAAGTACCAGATTCCCTGAGTGATACTGTCAGGTGAATTAGATGGTCACAACTAAAGAGACGGCAGGCTGATGGTGGACATAGGCTGTGGTGTTAAATATAGACACGGATGACAGCACAGGAGGCTATCAGGGCCAGCCAGGTGCCCGCCATATTGGTTCCCACATGCTTGTTAGCCATCAGTGGTCCACAGCAGAGACAAGTCCTTTGCTTTCTATAGCACTGAACCGTAAATATGAATTTATTGGGATATTTGAAGTGATAGACCTGTACCAGGAATTCTAAAATTAAAGAGAACAATGTACACTTGACAAGGTTGCTCTTTTATTCCAAAAGAGATATTATATACTTGTCTTTCTAAAATGTCTGCTCCAGTCATTTTGTAGCACAATTCAGTATGAATTTTCTCCTTCTCAGTAGCAAATTCTATTAAAGTTTTAATTAAAGATATTTTTCAAGGCCTGCGTGTTTTTCAGAAGACTGATGAATAAGAACAGGAACTTCTCTTAAAATAAGCCTATCACAAATAGAAAACTCCAGGTTTGTCAGCCTCCAAGGCTGATGTTTTAAAATACCTGCTATTGGTATTTAGTCTTTTTATTTTTATTGTGGTAAAACAGACATAACATAACTTGTACCATTTTAGCCATTTGTAAATGTACGGTTCAGTGCACTAAGTGCGTTCTCATTATTACACAGCCATCATCCCATCCATCACACCGTCCATTTCCAGAGCTTTCTCATTTTCCCAAACTGACACTCTGTGCTCATTAAACACTAACCACTCATTTCTCCCTCCCTCCATCAATATTTAGTCTTGTCATAAAGATATATGAAGATAACAAAGCTATATGTTCTTAAAGGCAAAGTTCTTCTGTCTAGCTAATTCTACCAGTGATTTTTTTTTTTTAATAAAAAAATTATAGTAACTTCTAGAAAACATTTAAAATCTAAAATTTCATTCTTAGGAATGATTAGTAAATAAAGTTTTAAAAAATATTTTTTCTTGTTTCGTTGAGAAATAATTGACATATATCACTGTAGAAGTTCAAGGTGTAGATCATGATGGTTTGATTTATATCTATTGTGAGATGATTACCACAGGAGGTCTAGTTAACATTCATCATCTCATTAAAATACAATAAAAAGAAATTTCTCCTCATGATAAGAACTCACAGGATCCAGTCTCCCAACAGCCTACCTGTGTATCATAGAGCAGTGTTAACTGTGTATCATAGAGCCTACCTGTGTATCATAGAGCAGTGTTAACCATAGTCTTTGTGTTGCACATTACATCCCCAGCACCCATTTATCTTATATCTGGAATTTTGTACCCTTTGACCACATTTGCATTCCCACTTCCCTCTTCCCCTGCTTCTAGGAAATAAACTTCTAAGTGTAATGCAGAGCTCATTGACATGACTTTATCATTGAACTTTAGTTTTGGTACATTTAGATCAGACTTTCTCAACCCCAACACTACTGGAATTTTGGACCTGGTAATTCTTTGTTGCGGGAGCCAGTCCTGTGCTTTGTAAGCTATTTAGCAGCATTCCTCAATGCCTGTGGCACTCCCTCATCCCTGGTTATGATAACGAAAAATGTCTCTAGACATTGCCTAATTGCTGCTGGTTGAGAAGAACTGATCTAGATAACACCATCTTTTGGTTGTTGTTGTTGTTTTTCTTCTTGTTCAGGGGGGAAGGGACAGTGGGAGAGGGAGAGGGACAGAATTCACGAAGTGTGGTGGCCCTAGGCAGGGCTGGATTTCACAACCCTGAGATCATGACCAAAATCAAGAGTTGGACGCTTAGCCAACTGAGCCATCCAGTTGTCCCCTGGATAACACCATCTTAAAAAAAAAAAACAAAAAACATTTTATTTTGGAATAATATTAGATTTTAGAAAAGTTGCAAATACAGTTTTACCCCTTACCATGTTCTCATGATATTAACATCTCATATAACTTGACATAACTTAGTTGGTTAACTAAGGAATTTAATATTAGTGTAATACTATTGACTCAACTACAGATTTCATTTTTTCACTATATCCATTTAATGTTCTAGGATCTGATTCACAATATGACATTGCATTGAGGATAATGGTCCTTTAAAAGGAAATGTTAAAGAATGAGTCCTCATTACAAACGTGACTGGGCACGGAAGGCTAAGCTTCACATTGCTCCCATTTTTTACAAGTAACAAATTTTTCACAAGATTTTACTGTCATGTCTAAAGCTCTTAAGTTTTCCAAATTGAGGGAGTATTTCACAGTTTGTGCATCCATAAAAATATGCTCTTCAGATAAATTGCCTTTATAGATATACCCAACATAGAACTAGTTTTATGCTGGGAAAGTTTATGTCACTGAATTCCCTTGTCATGAAGCTGGCAGGCGGTGGAAATAGCAGGAGATCTTAGGCTATTCATCTGTTAATCAGAGATAGCTGAGGAGATGGCAGGCAAATTAAGCTCTTGTAAGCTGGACCAAGGTGTTTTCCTGCCAAAATTGGAATGATGATTGACGTTTGATTGGTTTGTAAAAAACACAAAGCAATGGATAAGTTTATTAAGTGTAAATACCTTTAGATATTTACTCATCATTGAAAGGAAACCAACTAGACATTTACATGTGAGAGTTTATTATACATCTTAGGGTACCAGGAATTTCTCCATGTATGGGTCACATTATGTTGCTTTCTGTCCCACTATAGACAGAGTAGGTAAAATGCAGTCCACACAGCAGTTTATAAAGAGCAACCTCTTAATGAAAGGGAGCCTGCTCCACTGGCCTTGAATTCATGAACACTGGCCTTGAATTCATGAACATGAACTTAAATCCTGGCTTGGCCAATCTGTTAAACGTGTGAACTAGCACCAGTTTCTTTACTTTTTTGACTCTTAGTTTCTTTCTTTCTTTTTTCCCAAGATTTTTTTTTTTTTATTTGACAGAGAGAGAGAGAGAGAGAGAGAGTGAGAGTACAATCAGGGGGAGCAGCAGGCAGAGGGAGAGGGAGAAGAACACTGCCCGCTGGACAGGAAATGTGATATGGGACTTGATCCCAGGATCCTGGAATCATGACCTGAGCTGAAGGCAGAGGCTTAACCGACTGAACCATCCAGGTGTCCCTGATCCTTAGTTTCTTTAACTCTGAAGTAAGCATTTTTAAGGAAGATTAAATATCACAATAGTCTATGCTCACACAATAGGGACTGCTTGAGAAATGCTAACAATGAAATTATTTGCAGGGTTCTCTTCGGAATGCTCTGTCTTCTGTAAAATGCTTTACAGCTTTGTTTTTTGACTGCTCAAATTTGTGGCAGCTGAGACTATTACAGAATCTGGTTCAACAATTAAAATAACATTTTGTTTACCACAAAGCAGCGCTTCGAATGATGGGCTCTCCCTTATCCTTCTCTTTCAGATGTCCCCTTGCCACCAGCAGTGCCTGAATGTCAGCGCTGGGAGAAACTGAAGAATTCAAGATGTGTTTGTAAAATGCCCTATGAATGTGGGTGAGCTCCTTCTTCGCTCGACTCTCTCCCTTTTATTTTATTTAAGATGAAAAAAAAAAAAGTGTCAGTAGGTGATAGTCTCTCTGTTAGATCAAAAGTGTTGCTGAACCAAGGGTTAGGATCTTCGTTTGCCTTTGAACCCAGCCCATCTGCTGCCTGTTATTTGCCGGGGTCGCCAGGGCTGACACCCAGCGACCTTAAGCAGTGCTCTACTGTCTAGACAAAGGCTGAAAGACTCAGGCACTGCTTGTTGTATACAAGAAATGCGGCAAAATGAAAACACTGTCACGTGAGGATTTAGAGCTTGAGGAGATGAGGGTTGAAATTCCCTTGACCTATAAACTCTTACGCAGCGTACCAACAGAGATACAAGTAGCTGCTTTTCCGATTCTGGAAATGGCTGTGTCTCCAGATGTGCATTATGAGAACGCCACCCATCTTGCAATCACTGTGCTGTAGGTGGATAGCTGAAGTAGGTACTCGATGTCTGTGTTATGGTCCTGGTCGGATACATTTCCTGGTTGCCTTAGCGCAAGAGGTTTCCCAGCGGCACTATTTATAAAGGAAGGGAAGGAAGCTGCATGCCAGGAGGCAGTACTGTGGCACTGCCAGTCGCCAGGGTACATATCTGCGCCTGGGCCTAAAGCAGTGACCAGACAGGCTTTTCTGCAAAGCTGGAGACAGAGTAGACTGTGCAGATGGCAGCTGAGGCAGAGCGGGGTCCCTCATTTTAGGGATCTCAGAGACCCCCACCCTAGTGTGAGCCATGGCATTCAACATGCTCTAATCTCTTGCCACGGATCAAATGACCCTGAAGCTAGAGGACAAGAAAGTGGTTCTTAGGGTCAGCCTTCCTTGTAGAGGTCAGGGGGGTGGGGTTGAGGGTGGAGGATGAAGTGTGGGGGTGTGGGGCTGTGGAGAGTGAATCTGGAGAGGCAAATGGGAGGTATCTAGGCCCCCAGATTTATTGGCCATCTTTAAGGCTGAGTCAAAACACACTTTACTGCCCACTTATAGGTGACTCTTGAACAACATGAGGGACTGGGGTGCTGACCCACCCTCACAGTAAAAAATCCAGGTATAACTTTTGACTCCCCAAAAACTTAACTAATGATGGATTATTTTTGGCTGGAAGCCTTACCAGTGACATAAATTATTTTTTTAAAGATTTTTATTTATTTACTTGAGAGAGAGAGAGACAGAGAAAGCACAAGCAGGGGGAGGGGAAGAGTGAGAGGGAAAAGCAAGCTCCCTGCTGAGCAGGTAGCCCAATGCTGGATTCGATCCCAGGAGCCTGGGGTCATAATCCTAGCTGAAGGCAGGCGCCTAACTGAACTACCCAAGTGCCCGCCTATATTGTATTCTTATAATAAAGTAATTTAGAGAGAAGAAAATACTATTGAGAAAATCATAAGGAAGAGAAAATACATTTATACTATTGTCTGTATCAAAACAATTCTCTATAAGTGGACCCACGGTGCAGTTCAAACCAGTGTTGCTAAGGGGGTCCACTGTGCTTGGCTTTCAATTATATTGTCCCCAAAACACATATCCAACTTCTTGAACACCTACAGTGGGTAATGGTGATTGTGGCCATATCTTACAAAAAGTAACTTCTTGAGAGAAAAATATAGCTAAACAGTGTAAATGGCAGTGGTCCTCCGCCTGGAATGTTCTGACTGTGGTATTGTTTTTTTATGAATCATTGTTGACTTTGATTCACTTTCATCCTCTTTCCAACTTCTCTGATTCATTTAGTTTATCTGCAACCTGCTGTTTATAGACAAGGTGTGAGCTTTCCACCAGAGACTGATAACAATGGCTTTGCAAGGTCTCTGCCTTTTGAGTGGTTCTGAGTAGTTCAATTTAAAGCTTAAGTAAGCAGTTAAAGATATGAGGATTTGTTTTTGTGATGTAAATAACTCCAAGTAAATTTAGCTCTTGGTCACTGAGGAAAATATTAGAGCTAAAAATGTATAAGAATAAATATAAACTCCATCTACCATACAAAAATAGTGAAAGTGAAAGGGTTCACTACAATAATGCCTTCCTTGCCCATCAACAGTCAGAAAGGTGCTTGTTTTTATTAGTGACATTTCTAAAAAGCCAAATCTCACCATTTTAGCACCCATGCTTAAGAAAAAAAAATACATTTTTATGGAAATATTTCTAAACTACTTTGTAAACATCATTACTTTAAAAAAAATCCCATTGAAAAATACGATTTCATCTTCCCTTGAGGATTTGGTCATCAAGTATTGGACATGCCTTATTATGGACATGAATTCTCAGGCCTGCTGGGCTGGGAGGACCTAATTTCTCCTGCAACCCATGGTCCCACCGGACTACAGTCTCGGAGTAGGTGATCTTTGCTGATTTTCTGCCTCCTGCTTGCTTGTCGACCCACCAGTGTCCCAAGCAGACCTCCTGTTCTCTTCTAATTTGCTCTATCTGATCTGCTCTAGAAGAAACTAGATCAACACGAGGTATCTAAGCTTCTAAAAATTGTGAGCAAATAAAGAGCAAAATATGTTCATTTTGAAGATCTGAGGAGGGTGAGCCCCAGGCATGAAGGAGATTTGAGTTTCTGCTCCATCTTTTTGCTGTGGCTCATAGCATCAGTCAGACTCCCTGAGCTCAGAGCCTCTCCTTTTACGTCTCATGCTCCATTTTGAAGACTGAAAATCTTCTACATAATGTAATTTAAAAAATTTTGTTTCAGATCCTCCTTGGATGTATGTGCTCGAGATGAGAGAAGCGAAAGGATACTGCGTCTGACAGTTTGCAAGATGCATGTTCTCCAGTGTCAGGGTAGAAATTATACCCTTGCTGCGGGGGACAGTTGCACTCTGCCTGCCCCCACTGAGAAAGCCTGTGGCGCCTGTCCACTCTGGGGAAAATGTGATGGTAAGGGGCATTTCTTTTTTTTTTTTTTAATTTTATTTTTTTTAAACATATAATATATTTTTATCCCCAGGTGTACAGGTCTATGAATCGCCAGGTTTACACATTTCACAGCACTCACCATAGCACATACCTTCCCCAATGTCCATAACCCCACCCCCCTCTCCCAACCCCCCTTCCCCCATCAACCCTCAGTTTGTTTTGTGAGATTAAGAGTCACTTATGGTTTGTCTCCCTCCCAATCCCATCTTGTTTCATTTACTCTTCTCCTACCCCCTTAACCCCCCATGTTGCATCTCCTCTCCCTCATATCAGGGAGATCATATGATATTTGTCTTTCTCCGATTGACTTATTTCGCTAAGCATGATACCCTCTAGTTCCATACACGTCGTCTCAAATGGCAAGATTTCATTTCTTTTGATGGCTGCATAGTATTCCATTGTGTATATATACCACCTCTTCTTTATCCATTCATCTGTTGATGGACATCTAGGTTCTTTCCATAGTTTGGCTATTGTAGACATTGCTGCTAGAAACATGCGGGTACACGTGCCCCTTCGGATCACTACGTTTGTATCTTTAGGGTAGATACACAGCAGTGCAATTGCTGGGTCATAGGGTAGTTCTATTTTCAACATTTTGAGGAACCTCCATGCTGTTTTCCAGAGTGGTTGCACCAGCTTGCATTCCCACCAACAGTGTAGGAGGGTTCCCCTTTCTCCGCATCCTCGCCAGCATCTGTCATTTCCTGACTTGTTTATTTCAGCCATTCTGACTGGTGTGAGGTGATATCTCATTGTGGTTTTGATTTGTATTTCCCTGATGCCGAGTGATATGGAGCACTTTTTCATGTGTCTGTTGGCCATCTGGATGTCTTCTTTGCAGAAATGTCTGTTCATGTCCTCTGCCCATTTCTTGATTGGATTATTTGTTCTTTGGGTGTTGAGTTTGCTAAGTTCTTTATAGATTTTGGACACTAGCCCTTTATCTGATATGTCATTTGCAAATATCTTCTCCCATTCTGTCAGTTGTCTTTTGGTTTTGTTAACTGTTTCCTTTGCTGTGCAAAAGCTTTTGATCTTGATAAAATCCCAATAGTTCATTTTGCCCTTGCTTCCCTTGCCTTTGGCGATGTTCCTAGGAAGATGTTGCTGCGGCTGAGGTCGAAGAGGTTGCTGCCTGTGTTCTCCTCAAGGATTTTGATGGATTCCTTTCTCACCTTGAGGTCCTTCATCCATTTTGAGTATATTTTCATGTGTGGTGTAAGGAAATGGTCCAATTTCATTTTTCTGCATGTGGCTCTCCAATTTTCCCAACACTATTTATTGAAGAGGCTGTCTTTTTTCCATTGGACATTCTTTCCTGCTTTGTCAAAGATTAGTTGACCATAGAGTTGAGGGCCTATTTCTGGGCTCTTTATTCTGTTCCATTGATCTATGTGTCTGTTTTTGTGCCAGTACCATGCTGTCTTGATGATGACAGCTTTGTAATAGAGCTTGAAGTCCGGGATTGTGATGCCACCAACTTTGGCTTTCTTTTTCAATATTCCTTTGGCTATTTGAGGTCTTTTCTGGTTCCATATAAATTTTAGGATTATTTCCTAAACATCCGCAAATCAATCAATGTGATACAATACATTAATAAAAGAAAGAACAAGAACCATATGATACTCTCAATAGATGCTGAAAAAGCATTTGACAAAGTACAGCATCCCTTCCTGATCAAAACTCTTCAAAGTGTAAGGATAGAGGGCATATACATCAATATTATCAAAGCCATCTATGAAAAACCCACCGCAAATATCATTCTCAATGGAGAAAAACTGAAAGCTTTTCCGCTAAGGTCAGGAACACGGCAGGGATGTCCGTTATCACCACTGCTATTCAACATAGTACTAGAAGTCCTAGCCTCAGCAATCAGACAACAAAAGGAAATTAAAGGCATCCATATCGGCAAAGAAGTCAAACTATCACTCTTCACAGATGGTATGATACTATATGTGGAAAACCAAAAGACTCCACTCCAAAACTGCTAGAACTTGTACAGGAATTCAGTAAAGTGTCAGGATGTAAAATCAATGCACAGAAATCAGTTGCATTTCTCTACACCAACAACAAGACAGAAGAAAGAGAAATTAAGGAGTCCATTCCATTTACAATTGCACCCAAAACCATAAGATCCCTAGGAATAAACCTAGCCAAAGAGGCTAAGAATCTATACTCAGAAAACTATAAAGTACTCATGAAAGAAATTGAGGAAGACACAAAGAAATGGAAAAATGTTCCATGCTCCTGGATTGGAAGAATAAATATTGTGAAAATGTCTATGCTACCTAAAGCAATCTACACATTTAATGCAATTCCTATCAAAGTACCATCCATTTTTTTTCAAAGAAATGGTAATGGGCATTTCATATTTGTAACTATAACAATGTTAAGGTGGTAGGACTGAGATTTTTAAAACTGTAGGTTCTGGTTTAGCAGCAAATCCAAGCAGATCCCTGAGGACGTGAAAGTCTCAGGCTGGTCTGAGTAACCTGTCCTTGCCCACAGCCTTCCCTGGGGGGTCGGGGCAGGGATCAAGTACCTAAGAGGACAAAACCCCTTCCTTGTTGGTCTGAATGTCCTCCCAAACACTGGCGCTTCCCATTCCCCTTTCATGGTTTTTGCTCTGTCCTTGTGTTATCCATATTATGTACTCATTTTAAAAGATAGACTCATAAAAATACCTATTTTTTTTAAAAAGGAAATTTTCTCATCACTTTCTTAAAAGGAAATATCACTTGCCACACATACGAGGTAACTATAAAAACACATGTAATGAAACAAAATGAGGCTGTAGATTCTAGCCAGATGCTGCTGGCAGCTTGGGGCTTGCTGCTTCTGTGGGATAAAGGGAGTTTAGCAAGAGCTAGGGGAGTGTTAAAAGCCTATCAGTGCCAAGGTGACACTTTCTCCTAGAAGTAATCAAAAGAATTTGAAGAGAATAGAAAAAAAGAGTTACTTTTTCAAGTTGTGGTTTGAGATTTGCCAGTGCTAGGTCCAAGTAGCCTTTATGATGAACTTGAATAACACCCTTGCCTGGCCTTCCACAGTTCTGGCTGTGTTACTAACGGGGAAAGCCGGGGTGCCTGGAGCCAAGTCATTGCCCTCAGTTTCCCCACCTGCAAATTTGGGAGCTGGACTGTGTGATCTCTGCCAGCAACTCAGGATCTCCCCCTTGTCCCTTTCCCCTGGATCCTGGTCAGTTTGTGGCATAAGCCAGAAAGTACCAAACTCCAACTATTGGGTCCCATTAGGATTGTCAGTCACCAGTGGGCTGGCTGACCTTGTCACTTCTTTGGGAGCCAGCTGGCTGGCACCTGCAACACACACAGTGGATTCCTCCTCATTTCTGGCTTGTTTTTATGGGATATGTGGACGTTTGCCTTTTATGCCCCGCATCTCAAAGCGAATTGAATTCTTTTCTTTGTCCTTGTTAGAGCCTTACAGCAACTTGGTCTTTACTGTTGTCTCCTTATCTGTCAGGGGTTGGGGGATTACTCAGTTTCTGGCTTCCCTAGACAGCAGCCCAGAGGAGTGGAGCACTGGGGAGCCCCGGACTTGGAGAGAGCTGGCCCATGTGGACCCGGTCCATCTGGTGGCCAGTCTCAAACCCTGCTTATTCTGAGTGGAGCGAAATGCCTCACTTTCTGGGTCCTACAGCTTTTCTGGGCCGGGGGCGGGGGTGGGGGTTGGTTATTGCGATCCCCGAGGCAGGAGCTTCTAGAGCTCTCTGGAAAGCATCGTGCTTTTGGAGGTCATGCGCCTTGACTCTCCCCACTCCACCACGTGCCACTGAGCCTCTGTCGTTGTTTGTGTTTCTAGCCCAGAGCAGCAAATGTGTCTGCAGGGAAGCATCCGAGTGCGAGGACGGCGGCTTTCGCGTCTGCGTGGAAGTGGATGGCGTGGAGCAGACGATGAGCGAGTGTGCCGCTGGCACGCTCAGGTGCCGAGGACAGGACGTCACTGTCACCAGCACGCAGCCCTGCGCTGGGGGGACCCCGTAGGCTTCCGGGCCTCTCAGCTGGAATCCCGCAGCCACTGTGTCTGAGTTCAAACATATGTAACCAAGCACTCGAGGCGGCTCTGCCTGCGTGGAAGAACCCTCCTTCTCCCTCCTTCTCCCTGCTCTTGCCTCTGCACTCTCTCCTCAACTCCCAGCCGAATCCAGACCAACTCCTTCTCTTCTTAGTTAAAATGTCAGCCAGGATGAGCAGCGCCCTCGAACTTGTGCACGAGCTATATGTTTTTGAACAAACTGTTCACTTGTCTGGACCTTGACTGTTTAAATCTGAAAATTAGAGGCTTAGAGCAGAGACAGTCGAATACTCCCTTCAAACCTAGGATTCATCAACGTATGACTGATCCCACCTGTGGGCCTGAACACCCTGTACAGATGGATTAGGAGAACAGTAAGATGAGAGAGGTCAGCTTCCCTCTGGGTCGAGGAATGCTCAAGATGACTTGAGCCAAAACCAATAGTGAGGTACTCAGCAGACTGAGCCATGCAGGTACCTCCCCTTCAAGGGGACCTTGAGTGGAAGAAGACAGATACAATTTTCCATCCCAAACTGCGATCTCGTGCTTCAGCCCGTGGACTGCAGCACCACGTGTAGGGATCCCTACATCTTACACGGACATGGAACCCCTGAAATGTCAGAACCACTGTGCTATCTATCATCACTGACACCTTCCGCCTTCTTGTCTGAGCATAAATACAATCCCTTCTTCTCTCTGGGGCTTCTCTCTAGTGCATGTCAAGCGCATGAAGTGCAATTTGCCCCCTTTCCCCCTCTTTCTTTTGTGGGAAGCATGAGTTCATGCCTGAGCTATTGAGCAGCCCGGTTTTCTCAAATATGAATACATGCTTGGATTTTTCAGGGGGCCATACAGGTACATCAGTTTGAGACACTGGCCTTCTATTTATCCCTTATTCATCTTTCATCAAAACAAAAAAGCAGCTGTGGGAGATGAAACAAGTGGGCTTAAATGGAATTTAAAATATGCTTTCATATACAAATAATATCTGTGTACTTTTCTGGTACTGATAAATACATTTCAACAAAACCTTAGTTAAAATGACAGTGATTAAAATCTCATTAAAGATACTGTTCTTTGGAATTTTTTTTTTATTATGTTTAATTTTAAAGACTCCACGAAGAATTATGTGTTCTTTTAAAATATATTTTTGTTTTTTAAACTACTTTAGTGAGATATGATTGACATGGAAAAAGCTATACATATTTCATGTATACAACTCCAATGAGTTTGGGGATAAGTATACATCAATCAAGACCATAAACATATCCATCATCTCCTAAAGTTTTCCCCCACCTCTCTTGTTATGGTTGTTGTTGTTATTTATTTATTTTTATGGTAAGAACACAACATAAGATCTTCCTTCTTAGAAAACAATTTTAAAAGAATTTATTTATTTATTTATTTGACAGGCAGAGATCACAAGTAGGCAGAGAGGGAGATTGGGGGGAGTGGAAGCAGGCTCCCCGCTGAGAAGGGAGCCAGATGCAGATGCAGGGCTCGATCCCAGGACCCTGAGATCATGACCTAAGCCGAAGGCAGAAGCTTAACCCACTGAGCCACCCAGGCACCCCAAGAATTTATTTAATTTTAAAGAGAGAGCATGCCCTCACGGGAACAGGGAGAGGAGCAGAGGGGAAGGGAGAGGAGGTAACCTCCAGGAGACTTTTCATGCTGAATACTGCCTGAATGGAGAGCGTGATATGGGGGGTCCATCCCACCCCCCGAGGATGATGACTTGAGCCAAAACCAATAGTGAGGTACTCAGCGGACTGAGCTATGCAGGTACCTCCCCTTCTTAGAAAATTATAAGTATATATCACAGTATTGTTAGTTCGAGGCATTTTAGCTAACATGTAGCTACAGCAATGCTGTAGAGAGTGGATCTTCAGAATTCACTCATCTTGCATAACTAAACTTTGTTACTCTCTGAGCATCACATTCCCAAGTCCTCCCTCTTTTCTTTATGAATTTGACTATTTTAGGTTATACACATAAGTGAGATTATTATAGTATTCTTTCATTGTTTGCTTTATTTCATTTAGCATAGTGTCCACTGGATCCATCCATATTGTCACAAATGGCAGGATTTACTTCTTTTCTCTAAGGCTGAGTAATTTTTCACATTTTTCTTCATTTATCCGTCCATGGATGAACACTGAGATTGTTTCTCTATCTTGGGTGTGATGAATACCTCTTCAAGATCCTGAATTCAGTTCCTTTGGATATTTGCTAGAAATGGAATTACTGGATCATATGGTAGTTTTATTTATAATTTTTTGAGGAACCGCCATACTATTTTCCACAGTGGCTGTGCCAGTGTGTTCTTACCTGAAACCCAGGTCTGATTCACGTCCAGATTCATTTACCATATTGTCAGTTGAGTGAAGATTCAGAGAATATATTGAATTATAAGGATACAGTTTTAGGGATGCCTGGGTGTCTCAGTTGGTTAAGTGTCTGTCTTTGGCTCAGGTCATGATCTTGGGGTCCTGGAATTGATCCCCACATCTTCAGCTCCCTGCTCAGTGGGGAGTCTGTTTCTCCCTTTCCCTGCTTGTGTTTTTTCTCTCATTCTCTCTCTCTCTCTCACACACACACACACAAATCAATAAATAAAATAAAATAAATACAAGGAGGCAGGTTTAAATAGATTGAAAACAATAATATCCAGAAATGTTTAATTGAGGCCAACAGCATTTGTTAGAGGTTATTAGGGAGTTAATTTCTAACCTAGGTAGGGGGATAGATTTGAAAATGCCAGGCCCAAGAGGTAGATCCCAAAACAGAGCTGAACAAATAATTTCTTTGGGAGGATGAGATTAGTATCCTTCCAATAATTTCTCCTCTTGTCAAGTTAGTAGAGAGTTAAATGTCTACTACTTATGAACAACCACCCTCCTTTTGTAACTAATACAGATGATATGGTCAACATTATCAAATGCTATAGGAGAGCTCAAATGAAGTCTGAAAAAAAGAAATTTGCAGATTTGACAACTAAGGTTTGAGAAAGAAATTTCCCAGAGTTAATGGAGGAAAAGTAAGGGTTTAGTGAAGACTTGGTGGAGAAGGAAAGAGCAGTGAATGAGGCTGTAGAGAGATGCCATCTTGAGGAAATATTAAATTTTGTGCCTTTTTTCTTTTCTGAACATTCTTACACTTGACCTTTCCTTTAGTTAGAGATCTTCACCGTTGCTTGTAAAAGAACTAGAATCATTGCAGTGAGTCTGCAAGGGGAAAGTAACTTTCAACACTAAGTCTTCTAAAATGTTTTGAAACTTTGAAAATAAGCTCTTGAGCGTCTAAAGAGAAGGCTTTGAGGGAAGACAGGAGGACTGTTTATACAGGAAAATTGACAGTATAACGAATGTGGGAGGAAGTGTGAGAATTTCCCCTGCTTGCCCTTCCCACTGCCTCGGACAGGTGAGGGTCCTCTGTGTTAGAATGGGATATAACTTTGGAGGAGAAGGCAGAAATAGTTGAAGTTGAAGTTGTCTGGACCTAGTGGGGGACAGAGGAGGAGGAGGGAATTGTTGGTGCATTAGCCATCACAAGCTTCTGGGAACTACATGGGAGCAAAGCCACTTCCACAAGTCATCATTCACAATTTAAAGGGACACAACAAGTCACCTGAACAGAGAAGCTGCTTTGGAAGATCTTTTAATCACTCCGAAGAGTGTATTTTTAAAAATTATTATTTTATTTAAATTCAATTAATTAATTAATGTATAGTGTATTATTAGTTTCAGAGGTAGGTTCAGTGATTCATCAGTTGTATATAACACCCAGTGTTCATTACATCACGCGCCCTCCTTATTAGCATATGATTTCACTCATACATGGAATTTAAGAAACAAAACAGAGGATCACAGGAGAAGGGAGGGAGAAATAAAATGAGACAAAATGGAAAGTAACTTCTTGTGACACTCCACACATTTCCTAATAACTGACCAATAGAAGTGCTGGTTATCAATGCCCTGAGATTTGGTGAACCCCATCCAGACCACTCTCCTTCCCCTCCACCAACAATCTGGGACACTTGCAATCCCTTGAAACAGAGGGAAGGTTCTTATGTTTAGGTGTGGTATAGTGGGGGTATGGAATGGCAAGAAGAAATGTCTGACAAATGACCACTGGAACTCTGAGTTACCTGGCACCTAGCCAGCTAACTATTTAATCTGATAACCCCCCCCCCAACATGCGCTGGAAATGTCATGGCTAATCTCAGCTTCATATGAGAATTGTGAACCCATTTTGTTGTTCAGTAGTCACTCAGAGCTACCGGTGCTGGGCAGATGGTGTACCCAGCATTGCCAAAAACAAGTTATTATATGCCTTTACCTTTTGGTTATGTGTATTAATATTATATACTAATTAATATTATATAATTAATTAAGTAATAATATTATATAATATTAATAATAATAATTGTCTGTGTTAATGAATATTTTGAACCCCATAGCTTATCATCTGTTCTATATTTTCGTTCTATGGGCACCAAAATTTCTTATACCCACACACTCACTCAATAACTAACCTACCATAGGCATTTGGATTTTTTCTAATAGCTGGTGGAGGAGGTCATCATAAACTTGAAGATAAACTAAGATGTTACATACTTTGGGTAGGAAATGAAGTAAGTATTCAGGTGTACCGGCTCTACCTACTCTTTTACTGAGGTAGAAGAAAGAGACGGAGGAGGGACAGATAAGAGAAAACAAATGAGAGAGAGAGAGAGAGAGAGAGAGAGAGAGAGAAAGAGAGTCATTTTCAGTACAGGGTTAGCAGAACCAGCAGCCACATTGTCTTTCTACCTCCCAGTGCACCAAGATTTTTCCTTCTTGATGGACTAAAGTGCATTCAATACTTGTGCTAGAAATGGAATGACCTGTTTCTCTTTCAGAACACTGAGCCAGAAAGCAACCACAGTAGGAGGCAATTTCCGTTAATATCTGAGAAACCAGAGGTATATGCATGCCTTTCAATTACCTTGGTCTTTCAGGCAGCTCACACA